GAGGTCTCTTCTAGCCTGGTTGATTCTGAGATTCTGTGCACTAACCTCTTTCCTGCTCAGTAACTCCAACCCTGTTGTCCCTGCAGGCAGCTATTGTGGCTGAGGCTTACGAGTTCGTGCCAGACTGGGCTGAGGTTCTGCACCAGCAAGTGGTGACCAAGGGAGACTTCACATACTTGGAGGAGTTCAAGCAGCAGAAGCCTCTCACGCCTGGCCTGTTCGAGGAGATTGCCAAGAAGTGAGTAATGCTGAGGGCAAACTGCAGCTTGCTTCTCCACAGAGTGCTGAGGAGCAGTGTATGGCTGCAAGTGTAAAACCTTTCCTGGGCTGAGGTGTCATACACAGAGACTGCAGATAAAATCCTGGAGTCGTTTGGGTTGGAAAGACATTAAAAGCCCATCCAGTTCCACTCCCTGCCATGGGCAGAGACACCTCCCACCAGCCCAGGCTGCTCCCAGCCCCATCCAACCTGGCCTGGAACACTCCCAGGGATGGAACAGCCACAGCTGCTCTGGGCAACCTGTGCCAGTGCCTCAGCACCTCCTGGGGAAGAGGTTTTTTGCATGTTTAGTTTCCTGAACACAATGTAGAAGCAGCATTGATCCACCCTTCTTCCTGACTGGGTAACAGGGAGCTGAGGACAAATCCCATTAAAATGAATCAAGATAACCAACCACAACACTCAAATCTGTGTGTTGAGCACAGTCTCTTGTTAAAGCTGTCAAGATGTAGTTCCAACAGCCCAGGGGAAGAGTCTTAACAGTGCCTGAAGCCTTTCTGTCAGTGACTTGTGCAATTGTTTCAGGGTCAAACAACACCCACCTGCAGATGCTGCTCTGAGGAACCTGAAGAGGTTACTCACTCACTGTGAGGATATCTACACCTACTACAGGTTGGCCTACGACCACAAGTTCTACGACGTGGTAAACTCCCTGCTGAAGGACACTCAGACCGGTTGCTGCCTCAATGACCTCTTAGCCAACTGAATTCCATCTCTGGAGCACAGCCTGGCACGATCCTGCAGGGGTTTATCAGTTACTGCTCCTGTGAGCTGCTCTGGAGTTACACCAGAAAACTGGTGGTGGCTGTAAATATTTAAAGTGCTGAGAGTGAACTAAACTAAAATTGGGGTTTGTGTAATAAATCTTGTTTATAAATGACTCAAGGCAGCAGCAGGTAAGAGTGGCCCAGGAGGGGATGGACTCTGTCCACCCTGGGAACAGCCACCTGAGCAGAGTGCCTGTTGGAGGTGTGGGGCTGCAGTGGGGTCCAGGAGCTGCTGAGACACTCCTCGGGTAAGAACAAGCAGAGTCAGCAGTGCCAGCTGAGAGGAAGGTCCTCGTGGAAATGCCTGGACTGTGGCAGTCCTAGAAGGATTCTGTTCACCATCAGCATCTGTAAGAGTCTTACTGGAAACAACAGCCACTTTTCAGGGATGACATCTCCCCCAAGTCCAGCTGAACCTCTAACACCCCCAGCACAGCTCAGCTTGGCACCTCTCCCTCTTCAGGTATCCAAGAAACTGCTCCCAGCCAACCCGCTGAAGTCCTCAATAGTGATTTTTATTAAATTAGTTGCTTTATAAAACATTGCAGATGTTGTAATTGTTAACATAACAATTTGCCCAACTGTAGGAACTGCTGCAGTTTGCTAAGCAAGTTTGGTTTGTAATGAAAGAAAAGGGCCAAGTGGTGAAAGACCCACCACAACCCCAGGAGAGCCCCCAGGACGTCCTGTGGGTTGGGTTTGTTGTAGAGTTACCTGTTAGAGCACACCCAGCCCAGACACTGCATTAGTACAGATCGAGGTGAGCGGAGCCAACCTCACCCACGGTGCTGCCGTGCTCTGCCCCACAGGTGAGTTGGGTGTCAGGCTGGGGCAGGGGCTGGCCCAGGGACACTCCCAGGTGCAGTATCCCCACGCTGAAGTTAGCAGTTCCCTTCCCAAAATACTGAAAATCTCAAGCTCTAAGTCAAGACAAAGCGACTGAAGTCTATGTGCACACCCTGCCCCGTGGCCCTGGGCAGGACCAGCTGAGACCACAGGGCTGTCAGAATCCTCCACCTGCTTCCCATTCCTACCCAATTGAGTGGCTGTTGCTAGGGATTAAATAGCAGCAGTGTCCATCATCAGAATTTTGGGGTTTAACTGCAATTGCCAGAGCTTTCCCCTTCCTCCCCCCAGAGCTCCTGGCACCCAACCCCCAGCACAGGATACTGCAGCTCTGATTGTAGCATTTGGCAGAATTGAAAGGAAGAAAAGTTGTGCTACATGTTGAAGGGATTTGTGGGCAACAGAAAGACAACAGAAGGGAGATAAATGTCACATGAAGTCTTCGAAGTCCTGTACGTACTCTCCGTCGTAGCCGCCGTAGTCAGCCAGGTCATCCTTCATCGTTGCCTTCAGCCCCCCACCAGGCACCACCCCTTTTTTCTTCTTTTTGGCTTTATTCTGCTCCAGGGCAGGAGGAGGAGGAAGAGGAGGAAGTTGGTTACTTGAACAGGCTCAGTGCTCTGACACTGGCCCAGTCACAGCAGCCCACGTGTCCCTGCCCTGAGCAGAGCCTGCGGTGACGCCAATGATTTCCACAGCCCCCACTCTCCTCCCAGGAAAGCTGAGACATCTCCAGTGTCCCACAGCTCCCTGCAGCACCTTCCGGACCCCCTTGGGCCTTTCAGCCTATT